AAATAGGGTGAGGGGGGTGGATAGCTATTGACATTATCCTTCTATATAAACATTATTAATGCTAAGTCCAAATATTAATTTTGAAAATTCGGCCTAAATATGAAGAATAAAAAAGCGTCAGTTAAACATAGTGGTGCGTCATTATATAAAAATTCATTTTTTTTATCACTTTCTCTACACTATGTGGAATAAATACCACCATATTTCATTTTGGTCCTGGCTCATTATAAATAAATAGTCCAAAATATATCAGATAAAAGAAAATTTGGCTTTCTGAGTTGATTTTAAAGGACCCCGCCAGACCCCTAAAGTTTGATACATTTTTGTACACAAATTTAACCAGCGGGGACTTTAAAGTCACGTGACATTAAAATTTTTGGGCTTAAAATCATTTTTATATTGGTGGTCAACCATTACAGGTAGGACCAACTTGATTTTCGAAAATTCGTCAAATAGGAATCACCCTAATATATATGGGCGATTCCACGGTTGAAAATGAAAAAGTAGTTAAATTTTATTACTTTTTTCATCAACTTTTAGCCAATGAATATTGATGTAGATACATTAAACTTTATTTAAAATATACCATTAGACTAAAATAAATTTATTCAAGTCATTTTTGCATGATTAAAAAGTATCATTGTAAAATGTTATTTTCAGGGCCGACGACACGGGTTAAGAAGTGGGGGGGGGGGGGGGGCAAAATCATCAATTTGTGAAAAAAGTCCTCTTTATCTTAAAAAAATTTCTTTAAAAAATTTTTTCTTAAAAAAAAGAAAGGAAAAAAGGTCCCTAAGAAAAATAGTGGGGGCACATGCACCACTGGCTCTCCCGGTGTCGTCAGCCCTGACTTTACCCATCAATTTATTTGCATAATCAGAATTAACTAAACATGAAAATGGAGCTAAGCGTGAAAATGGAGCTTTTTATATTTAAAGTTTTGAATAACGATGCTTATTTAAAGTACATTTTTATTTTAAATTTGTTTAATGTATGTTAAAACTACATACATTTAATAAAGTTCTGGCGCT